ACAGGACTGCTACAGTGTGACAGCATTGGAATGCTATTTCTTGGGAGTACTGTTTTTTTTATTATTTAAACTTTTGTAAAGACCTGTTTTATTTAGGATTAATTTTATTTGTTCCCATTGAGAAATGTCCCAGTACATTTGTCATGACTTAGCTAAGTTCTTTTGCCCTTATACGTATAAATGTTTGCGGTCACGCAGTTAGAGTTTTTTCAATTTTTTCCGTTATAAGTGGCTAAGTGCTGCTTTTTTCCCCCAATGTGACCTCAAATTGAGTCCATATACAAATGTGCCAGATTTGGTGTATATATCTCATTCAGTCCAAGGGTTATTGCCATTTAAGTAAAAGTGGCCACACCCACTTTGAACTTTTGGCACCATCGTGGCGATGAGTCGAAAGTTCAACTCTTTTTGGATAATCGTTGATATTCAGCCTCCAGAGGATCTTTCTGCACTGGTTTGGTTCCTTTTGGGCAAAAAAAGCTGGGACTAGTTTGCAAAAGTGAGTTTTTCCAACAAAAAAAAAGAAAGAAAAAAAATCCAATATGGCGAAAATATTTTCATGGTGGGAATGAAATCACTATCACAATGTAGCTGTTTCATTCCCTACACACTAACACCAAGTAATTCTACTATATTTAAAGCACATTTTTCTCAATAAGCTTGCATTTTGCAGGTTCATCATAGTTTTTGCCTTGTCTTAAATAATTTTTTTGCATACTTGTTGCAGATTGTATCAGTATTTATAGCTCCTGGACACTTAATAATTTGTTTTTTAAATTCTTTCCAATAATGATCAGTCATTAATGATCAAGTCCCTACAGTATATGTAAACACTTATCATTGGTAAAAACTACTAAAAAACCACTGGTACCCCTCAGTCTGTCCAGAATCTGTTTAGTCTACTGAACTATTTATAATCTCAGTTCATGGTTTACCAGTTTACAGCAGAATGGTGGAACGAGTAGATCAGAAACTGATCCTTTACAGTGGGGTGTATGGAGCCACTTTGAGCAGAATGTGCCACTATGAAAAACATATGAAGAGTTAATTTGCAAAAACCGATAACTAAAAACGTGAAACCGATAACTTTTTATTGCGCATTCCAAGTAATATCAATCAAATGTAGTTGGGTTGTTTTGATTAAGTAATAATTACTTAAACAAATACAGGTAATTTACTAAATTAAAGTTAATTTAAAGTATGTTTTATATTAAAAGTTTGTTTTATAGCAAAAGCAGATAACTCCAACAGTCATTTTTTGGCAAAAGCAAATAACTCCACATTTCATGTTTTAGAGTTTTAAAAAAAACTCCTTTAATCTTTGTAATCTCCTCAGATGACAATGTAGATGCCTGACAAACGTTGTTGTTGTTGTGATCATAGACTGTATGGATGTGATTACACGCAATACACGGAGCTTTTCCCTCACCATTGTAACGCGCTGCTTTTGCAAGGTTCCGTGAAAACGTTTCAGCTTTTATTTTCCTTTTTCACCCTGAAGAAGATATCACAGGTTCATCAAGTTCGTAGAAATGATCCATCCTCGATCACTTTTAGTCAGCTTTGACGAAACTCCTCTCAGCTAGCACGTCTTTTCAAAGCAGTAGCTCCTCACTGCAGAACACAAGATCCAGGGGGCATGGTTAGATCCACATCTAGGGGGTGGAGATTGGTAGGTTTAGGGGTGGAGATGGGTGGGTTTAGGGATCAGGGGGTGGAGACGGGTAGGTTTAGGTGTATGTAAGGTGGGAGGAGTTGGATCTGGATCCAACCACGCCCCCTGGATCTTGTGTTCTGCAGTGAGGACCATCTCTTTCAAAGTGAAATTAGCCTTGTCACCTGACCTGAATACAGCACGCTGATTCGCTAAAATGGACTTATCGGCTTCTGTTCAAAAACAACAATGGCGCTTGTCGGCTTCTGCAGTAATACGTGAACTCGCGATGCCTTGAAAGTGGACAAAACCGACTTTTTTGACAAAACTTATTTAGGGTTCAGATCGCGCTATATGTGGAGAATAATGCACAGCAATCAGCTCTTTTTTTTTTTAAAGTGGCGTTTATCGGTTTTGCAAATGAACTCTTCATATACAGTGAAGCTATAGTGCCCATAACAGTAATTAATTTATAACTCGAAGCATTGAAACAATAGTGTAATTTGTAGCACTTCCTTTTAATGCCCTGATAGTCAAAACAGCTTGATTTCTTCTACTAGGATGCTGAAAATCTACCAAGCCTGTAAAGTAAATGCAATTTTCATGTTCTTATTCAGAAGTTGTCAACTAAAGAAACCTAGATAGAATAATAACTGATAACTCTGTTGCAGTTACATCAGATTTACATCAGATTTTTCTCTGTCCAGATGTTACTCAAACTAAGAACTTAGATCTTTTGTAGGGTGACAAGGGCATTACCCTGTAGTTGATAACTGCTTTATAATTGATTCCCTTCTTTACAAAAAGAGCCTGAAGTGTCCAGTAGATGCCACACACAATACTTGCCTTAATTTGTTTTAGTAACTGTGAGTCATAGCTAAAAGTTGTAATGTATTAGAGACATTTAATGATGGATTTCCTCTGAAGTCTTAATGTGACTGCAAATGTCTTATTTCTTAAAACTCATAAATGCACTTTTGAGATATTTATATTTACCTCTTGTATAGTTTTTAGATTTGGTCTCTTATTACCAAAAAGCATTAATTTACTGTATGTTCAAATGAGAATTTATTTTGTTGAGGAAAAAAAAAATCTCATGAGCTTGTATGTAATCTGTGTGCAGTTTTGTGCACTTTTTGGTTTCATATTGATATTGTTAATATGCAGATGATTTTCTATTGTTTACATTTTTATCAAGGAAAGAGACATTGCAGTGCTTTAGCTTTTGCTCGCCTCTAATTGCCTGTATATACACTTCGCAAATAGAAGCGTATTTCTCAGATGCTGTCTTTTCTTTGTATCATCACTTGACAACATTTAATTCAATGTGCATTTAAAATGTTCATAGAATAAATTTGATAAGATAAACGTGGGTCTCTTCATGCTTTAAAGGTTCGAATTGCTGTCTCATATTGCAGTTCTTCAGTATCACGTTCATCTCATGTCAGGATTTAGTGGCGTTTACAGTCTTAGCATGCTATCATGTGTTGTTTGTGGATATGTTTTCCCAGAGGTGTTTATCAAGACCATTTTTTTCCATTAGACTTGAGCTCCATATGACTTTTTCTGTGTGTCACAGTGGCCCCTGCCCGGATAGCTGTTCTTGTTTCACTCCTTCTATTTTTACCCCCCGCTAGAGATGTCTTCACCTCAGGTAACCAGTCTTAATAAGTTTGGAATCTAGTGATCTATACATTGGCATTTGTGCTATGGGGATAATAGCTTTCACAAGCATGTTCACTGATAGTGGGAGAAAAAAAAATATTGCTGACCTGTCTTGCCTGTCTTCAGAAATGTTTACCAGTGCAAAAGCTTTTATTGGGCAAACAACTTTTCAAAAAATTTTACTATTTCTAGACAGTATTAAAGTGAAAGTCGTTGTTCCCACAGCATCTGAGTCAATCAGAAACTGAGGCATTGAAGTGTTTTGTGCTTGTGTGTGTGTGTGTGTGTGTGTGTGTGTGTGTGTGTGTGTGTATGTGTGTGTGTGGTTAGCAGTCATCTGGCCATCTCTTTAGGCCACTGAGTTCCCAGCACTGAACCAGTGTTAAAGTTCAGAGAGAGCAGGTGAATTACAGCCTGCTTCTAAATCATTGCACTTATCAGCAGTGGTAAAGTACACAAACCTCATTTTTTCCCATCCACCCTGTTTCCAAACTGCTTGTCCTTCAGGTATTTAGGGTCGCAGACATGTTGGAGACTGTCTCATGCCGTTGACAGAAACACAGAGGACTGATAGCCAGTCCATCATTTTTATTAAACATTGAAATTATTTTAGTTATTTCCTTGTCATTTTGCTTCTCATTATTTTACATCAGCTCCCAAACTTGTCAGACCACATCCACTACAATAAGACATTGAAAAACACATTTCATGTGACTTTTATTTGTTACTACGCTGAAGAAAAAAGAAAAAAAGAAACAAAACTTCACTCAGAAATTGCTAGTAAATTTTACAAACAATTACAAAGAAATGGCAAGTAACATTGAATTAAACGTGAAATTTTGAAGTAGAAAAAAACTAAATATTATTCTCTTTTAAAACATACACCAATAATATTTGTGTTTTTTACAACTTCAAATATATATATATAGGACAGTTCGTACATTGCGGTGAATCAGAGGTAAAAAACGATATAAATACTGTTCAGTTTCTTGCACAGAACGTTTCATGTCTTTACACATCAATGTATCGTCACGAGCCGCAGGGTTTAATTTGGTTTTGTTTGTGTATGTTTTTTTTTACTCAAAGCCGTGATTCCCATTCACTTCCATTATATGACTGACAGACTGCAACGGTTTGTGTTAAAAATCTTCGTTTGTGTTCTACTGAAGAAATAAAGTCACCTACATCTTGGATGCCCTGGGGGTAAGCAGATAAACATCAAATTTTCATTTTTGGGTGAACTATCCCTTTAACTGTTTGTGGGCATATTAAAACTACATATTGCAACTTTTTTTGGTAAGATGATACACTCTAAGAAAGGTCTGTAACAAAACAGCCCAATATAGACCTACCATTTTAATATTAAGGAATTTTCTGTATTTGTGTTTCCCCTGTATTTTGAATGACACAATGCATTGCATTCTGTTTTAGGGTTAAAGGAAATGCCTGTAAACTTAATGGAAAACATACTGGCAATTTTCAGCCAAGACATTAATGCTGTGATGCATAAATGCATGCATACATGATAAAGTAGCCAATATCAGTCTTTATATTTTGCATTAAGATGATTCACTTGCTCCTTAACCTTTTGATGCATGAGTGTATCGATTTGCATGTTTCTCGGAAACGGTATCATCGCAGCTTCATGACCTGCACCCTTCACTCTGGTGGAGCTGTCTTCCTTCTGTTCTGTCTATGTGACCTACACTGACTTTTTCAGGATCAAGAATCATGCATTACTTCCTGCTGGGATCTTCAGTCATGGCGCTGATTTACCTCTCAGGTAAATGAACTGCTTAAGACTTTCAAAACTGCTGTTGTGTTTTGCCTTTACATAGGTTGCTGTCTGAAATGTAACATTTTGGTGCACGTTTTGTGGAAATGTTAGGACAGCAGTTTATTCATATGATTTTTGTTTCACATTTGAAAGTGGCAGGATTACAGTTTGCATATTATAGTTGCCCTAGACTTGTTTTCAGTGTTGTTCTTCCTTTCCATCTGTGAGTGAAAGAGGAAGTCCCATCGCTTCAAAACAAGTTTGCATTTTTGCCAGATATCCTTTTTTCACAATAAACATGTCGTGAAGTTCATGGTTTAAAGCAGTTTATAACACTGTGGGATGTACACGCTGTTTAGTGTCTTTCATAATGCCATGCATGTTTCTTGGTTTTACTTCTGCTGCTAACTTGAAAATGAGCTTAAACGAGCTCTGTCTTATGTATTTTCTCTTCATCCATCTCATCTTTTCAGCTGAAGGAAATACCCACGTGTTCCAGAAGCCACGATTTGTTGGTGTGAAGACAGGTCAGACTGTAAAAATATACTGTGTGCCGTCGAATCTGTCTTTGCCGGCTCATGTAGAGTGGTTCAAAGGCCAGTCTTACAAAGACCAACTCAAGAACAGCCAAAAAATAACGATAACGGAGAAGAGTGATAAATTAAATGCCGCCATTACCATAAAGAAAGTGGAGATTGAGGACAGAGGCACTTACTTTTGCAAGCTGAACGGCATGCTTGGACCGGGAACTGAGCTACAAGTGAGCAGTAGGTGTCATTTTGTAAATGTTATTCGCTTGCTTTCTTCGCCAGCCTGTGTACACGTATTTCTCTGTTTCTTCTCCAGGATACAGTGAACCCCAGGCTATCTTTATGAGATCGAGAGTCAAGGATGTTATCATTTTCCTTCAGGCTCTACTGTTGATTTTGTGCATTGTCGTTCCTCTGGTTCAGATTTACAAACTGGTAAGGGCCACAACATTTCCGTTGTATTTTATGTGTTAAGTATGCATTCCCTTACCAAAAAGCAGTATACTTCATGTTTATTTTATTAAGTATACTTAAGTAAAGTTCAAGTATATTTTTAAGTATACTTTATGTAGTAAGTATACAAATATCAGTGTAGTAGTAGTATACTATTACGTTTCGATTTCTTCTTCGCTTGTGTTTTTTGGAAATTCTGTACAGAAGATGTGTACTAGCGCCCCCTAGCATTACATCCAAGTATACAGTAGCTCAAATATATAAGTATAAGTCAAGTATACTTAAATGTCATTTTAAGTATATTTCTGAGAAGTACATAAAGCCCATTTCTGAGAAGTACATAAAAAGTAGACTAAAAGTATACTTTCCTATTTTTAGTTTAAAAGAAGTATACTAATAGCACACTTGAATAAACTTCTTTTTTCGTAAGGGTTAGCTTTTACCTCACATTTTTTATTGCCATTATACAGCCATCTAAGAGCAGTTTCTCATTCGGTTTCAGGAGAATAAAGAAGATGCAATTTATGAAGAACCTGAGGATGCGCACATATATGCGGTGAGTGTTTTGCTTCATTTGGTTAGCTCGTTACTGTCATTGTGTTGGTTTACGGTCGGTTGAGCTTTTAGCTCCGAGCTCTGTAGCTATTGTTGCATGCACTTCCGGAAGTGAAAACATGCATGGTCTGTTATGATAGACAATGCATGAATTTATACTTGTGGTGTTTCTAAAACAAATAGGAACTTTTCTAACTGCTCCAAATGCTGGTCCTCGAATTTGATTGGCCAAGCGGCATTTCAAGAGTGTTGAGATATGTTCTCTGTCTCTGTGCTGTCCAGGGGTTGGAGATTGAGCAGTGTGGCGGTGCGGATCTGTATGAGGACATCACTGCTTTAGCCCGGGAAACAGATGCAGCATGGGAAGTCGAGTCCCCAGACCAAGAGTGAGAAAAACACATCCATCGGATACTGATCACCAGAAACAAATGTCAGTGATTACATCCAATCCACACAATCAGTTTTTGCTGTATAGGTCACATGCATGCAGACTGATGTCACTGTGTGTGAATACAGCAAATGCTAATAAAAAAGTTTTTTTTTTGAAAGCATGAAATTATAATGCTATTTTTAAAGTTTTTGTTGAGGTTGACATACAGCAATACCAATCATCTATAGACATTACATTTAACTTATGTTTTTATTGTTGTTTGCTTGTTTGTTTTCTTTATTACACTTTTTATTGTATATTCATTTTACTGTACTGTGTATTATGTGGTAGTTTTTTTTAGAGTGTGTTTGTTGTATGCTAGTCATTCATAACAAGGTGCTCTCTATTCGGTAATAAAAATACTAGTTGTAAGGAACTGCTCAAAGCTTAAGGGAACTTTCACTTCATATCTGTTAAAATAAGCATGTGAAAAGCAGGTGTTTTCCACAAAGAAGCTTTTTTGGTAAATGTTTGGTATATTTTCTTTGCATTCAATCTGATCGTACACCACAAGTCTGATGATCAGCATGATTTGAAAGAGCATCTGCAAAGAACATCTGACCGTCTGTATACAAGGATTTAGCATTGTCACTGTTGCAAATTTGCTATTTGATTAGTAAAATACTGCAAAATCCTAAATATGTATTTTTTTATGTTATGATATTTTGTTAAAAAATTTTCTATACCCTGAAAGTTATAAAAGGTTCTGTTTTTTAAATCAAATAAAAAAAATTATACAAAAACATCCCACATTTTCTGAGTGGTCTCAAACCACATTTGGACTCTATGCCTATATATGGATTAAGTACATACCTGAATGGAAAGACAGGTTAATACACATATTGAAGGAGAGCATCTAAGAAATACAGAAAGGCTGACAGAAAGATACAGACTGTTTGGTTCAGTCTTCTAATAATAAGCTACTGTAAGAGCTGTAGGGAGGGAAAGTGCGCCATCCTATGGCCATTCAGACAAACAATACATTTCTTTTAAGGCTGGAATACACTACAGTACACGACTTTTTGCCCTGATTTCCCCCCTGAATTACAGTCTAGACCAGTCGATGCTAGTTGGAAGAGCCATCTGTAGATTTGAGTAGACAGATTTTACAGAATTTCATCATGTAGAGCAGTGAATCTCAACCTTTTGGCGTACCGGACCCCAGTGGATTTTTCTTTCATGGATGTATGTCATGTCAAAATATACAAAATGTATACAAAAATTCATACTTTATACGGACCCCCTGGCCTTACGTCAAGGACCACTAGGGGTCCACGGACCCCTGGTTGAGAAACACTGATGTAGAGTACTCTCAAATAAGTTTGTTTCTTCATCAGAACAGATTTGGAGAAACAGCATTACAATACTTGCTCACCAATGGATCCTCTGCAGTGAATGGGTGCCGTCAGAATGAGAGTCCAAACAGCTGATAAAAACATCACAATAATCCACAAGTAATCCACACACCACTCCAGTCCATAAATTAACGTCTTGTGAAGTGAAAAGCTGCATGTTTGTAAGAAAAAAAATCATTCATTTGTTTATTACTTCAAACTGTTGCTTCCAGCTAAAATACGAGTCCTCTTTCCATAATACTGAGGAAGCGTTATTATGGATTATGGACTCTTATTTTGGTCAAAGCGACAGTTTAAAGTTAAAACATCTTAATGATGGACTTGTTTCTTACATTCATGCAGTTTTTCAGTTCACAAAATGTTAATTTATGGACTGGAGTGGTATGGATTACTTGTGGATTATTGTGATGTTTTTATCAGCTGTTTGGACTCTCATTCTGACGGCACCCATTCACTGCAGAGGATCCATTGGTGAGCAAGTGATGTAATGCTAAATTTCTCCAAATCTGTTCTAATGGAGAAACAAACTCGTCTACATCTTGGATGACCTTAGAGAGAGTACATTTTAAAATTTGGGTGAACTATTCCTTTGAAATATGTTCAAATTTGAAAGATCATGTAGTGTACAGCAAACAGGAACATTGTTTTAAAATGATTTTATACCCTTTTTTAGATTTCATAAATAAATTCACAAAATGTATTACTGTAAAACATTCAAGTTTTTATTTGAAGCCAGAAATACAAAAAAGTATTTTTTATTGCAATCACGTCATTTTTACATTTTATGTAACAGCTAGAATAAAGGAGCCATTAATAAATAAATAAATAAATAAATAAGGGTATACATTAGAAATTAGTATGCAAAATCATATTGTATAAAATATATTAAATTACACAAAATGAATGATTAAAATAAATAATAATTTAAATAATTTATTAAAATGTAATATTGTTAATATAAATATCTACAAATATAAGGAATAAAAAAACAACAATAAATAAAAACATTCAGCTGTATAAGATAACATTATAAAAAAGGAGTGTAAACACTGATTAACAACACTGAAATCTTTTTTTTTTTTAATCTTCCGTAAATGGAGTGACGCTTCTAGAGTCCAGTTCTTAAACATGAGTGTTGAGAGAGAAGAACTCCAGCTGGTTCATGAAACTTATGATCCGTTTTCTGACGATCTCCCAGCTTTGATCTCTACCCTCCTGAAAGAGTGAAACAACAGTTAGTTCATCATGTAGATGAGTTTCCAGATTTACAGCTGAGGATTGATCTATATATTACAATCTTACCGTGTTCAGTTCTGTCATTTGTCTCAGTCTTCCAAAATACAGATGCAGCTTTTTGTTCCTCTTCATTTTGTAAGCACCCTGCATCGAGAAAGAAATAATAATGAGTTCATCTGGCTTTATTGTTTGTGTGTGTGTGTGTGTGTGTGTGTGTGTGTGTGTGTGTGTGCGTGCGTATGTGTTTG